AAAGTATTGTCAAGAACCTATATAAGACAAGATGAATAAGATCCCGAAATTTCACGAAATTCCATAGTCCTCAATCTCCTTGTAATTAATCAGATCAGATTGAATGGAATGGAAACTAGTTCATCCTATATCGCTCTTCGGATATACTGATTTAGCTTCTGAGGGTTGCTCGTAAGGGGGCAACCGAATGACGGATAGAACAATGACAATGATAGCCTAGAAAAACTAGTTTATCCTAAAATCGGGCTTGTCCGGTAACACACATTTATTATAAGACCAGGATATATGATAATGCTTTATTAAACAGAACACACAGAGTATTGCATTTTTAGTTTACCTACAATAATTGAATGGTTTCAACATTGGCACATATAAGATATGCTAATTTGAAAAAAAACCAAGGAATACTAAATGTAAATGATGAAATAATAATATACAATGATTCAGAATAAGTACAAAAATCACAGTTAAAATCTAACTTGATCAAAACTGGATCTGGTCCCACTGTCCAAATAACTTTGGCAATACTTTCCCTTCAATGCAAAACACTATTTATGACAAATAATTTTTACTCACCATCCAAATATCCTTTGCATAATAAAATTATGTTTAACACAATCATGTTGAAGACACGCATGCCATCACTAAATTGGCGCGCTATTATAATTTCATGAATTTCAGTAATACCAACTGCTGAATCGAAAAATGTCTAGAATGGTCTGGAATAACATTGGCGCTACAGATTTATTGTTATTTTAGGGTAATATGTTATTTCGTTTTCAAATTAATTTCTTTTGAGTGTGTTTTGTCCGACTATTGGTAGTGCTCGGCTTACTGGCGAATTCACCCTATTACTATAATCTCGACTATAATAATTCGTAGATAAAGAATTCAATATCTTGTTAGTTGGTCCTATTTGCATTGAACAAATCAATCAATTTCTCACGCTTGTAGAAACAATGTTATTGTTCCTAACTCATGCGGAAAGTATCTTTCTCGCACTCGACTACCTACTTGCCCGAACTCCGCTTCGTGTCGTTCGGGTCAATGGCAATCGCGGGCGAGAAAGTATCAATAATAATATGAATTGACATAAGGACATTTGAAATCATTCACGTGTTTATATTATAGGTCGCGTGCACGAAGACCGACCCTGGAGACAAAATATTGAAACACAACCTCATTCTTCTGTGAATTATTGAAACACAACCTCACTTTTTTATTTGGTTACAGAGGAATCAAAAGGTTGAAATAGTTTTTCACAATATTTTGGCATACGAATCGTGTTTCTTGCGTTATTCATTGATTCAAGCATGCCTTCGCATTGTGCTGTTGTACGATGCCCAAAAAATGCAGCAAGAGACTAAGGAATATGATTTTTCAGGTAAATAGTAATCTCACATAGTTAGCATTATGAAATGTTGTCATTCCTTATTAAAATTCCTTCTGCCACTTCTGCAATACAAGCTAATGCTGCTAATAGATTGAAAATGTCTACAACACACACGATCGTCAGCATGTCAGACCAGTCCTACCGATTGATTGCATTTGAATCCAATCTTCTTGCATTATTCTAGAAATTTCAGGTATATTTCTATCAGCTGATCCTACCGCAGAAGGAATTCCGATGAGAAATCAGAGAAATTACCAAATTTCAAAAATGAAAACTATAGGTGAGTGACTATATGTACTTACTTTTAAATCATAATGTACCATCCGGATTCCTTCACCTTCTGCTGCAGTTTTTGTGCATTTTACAACAGCACAATGTGATGGCATTAGCGAATTGATGAATAGCGGAAAAATACGATTCATATGCCAAAATAATTGTGGAAAACTATTTCGATCACTTGTAAACAAATATGTTTTGCCTCCAGGGTCGGTCATCTGACAGTTCTTGCACGCGACCTATTATGATTAAGGTTATACGGTTAAGGAAACGATGGATTGAATGAAAAATAAGAAATTCACTTACCCATCTTTCGAGATGTTTCATAATGATAATTTGGCAAAATGTTCGCTTTTATAACTCAATCTGCTCTTTGACGAAAAATCTATATTTCAATTTCTCCCTGCCTTATCGCATTGACATAGAGGTAGGGCTAGTTTTATTAATGTTTCTTGTTTTTCACCCATCAAGAAAAATTTTATAAAGATTTTATACAGTTAATTCATTGTGACAGTGTTGCAATATCTCTTTAAATATACAGGGAATCCAGAAAATATATATACTTTTTAAATGAAATGTGCTGTATATTTTGATAGATATGAATCCCTTATATCATATATTTGAAATCAGGATGAATTGAGGAATCCAAATCTATCAAAATATACGGCGCATTCCATTTGAAAAAAATATATTTTTCTCTATACCTTGTATATTTGAAGAGATATTGTCAATATGAGTGAAATCTGTATGAACAATTTTATAAAATCAGCTCAAATTTTTTTTGAATGAGTGTGAAACAAAAAAGATAAAGGGGGGTTCACATTAATAAAACTAGCTCTGTACTTACCTTGTGAGTGTGAACCTGTGAATCACAAATTGAATTCGGTCTGATGTCTAGTGGAATGCTTATGGGAACGTTAACGTACGCTGTTGAAATTGAAATTTCAAGATTTCAAATTCTGAACACTTCAATCTTTTGTCGACATTCCAGCGCCAAAAAATTATAGGTTAATTGTACTGACTAGTACTAGCCGCCGAAAATAGGTCGCGTGCACGCAATGAACTCAATAAAACTTACATTCAGTTCATTGCGTGCACGATGACCGACCCTGGAGGTAAAATATTGGAACACAACCTCACTCTTCCGTGAATTACATTAATTCAAGCATGCCTTCGCATTGTGCTGTTGTACAATGCACAAAAAATGCAGCGTGAGACGAAGGAATACAGCTAATAGATTGAAAATGTCTACAACACAAGGTGTTTATATTGAGTTCATTGCAACACACACGATCGTATTTCGTCAGCATGCCAGACTTGGCCTCCCGTTTGATTGCATGAATTCAATCTTCTTGCATATTTTAGAAATTTCATGTGTATTTCTATTAGCTCCTATTGCAGAAGAAATTCCGATGAGAAAACAGAGAAATTACGAAATTTCAAAAATTAAAACTATATATGAGTGACTATGGTAGGTACTCACTTTCAAATCATAAAGTACCAACAGGATTCCTTCGTCTTCTGCTGCAGTTTTTGTGCATTGCACAACGTACAACAGCACAATGTGATGGCATGAGCGAATCAATGAATAGCCGAAAAAAATACGATTCCTATCCCAAAATAATTGTGAAAAACTATTTAAATCACTTGTAAACAAATAAGAAAATTGTGGTTTGGCTTCAATGTTGTTTCTCCAGGGTCGGTCATCTGACAGTTCTTGCACGCAACCCATACTACTAATTGATTTACTTGCGAGAGACATTTATCTAGATGATCGTTGAAAAATGGTAAGAATACGGCTAAAAATAAAAACGCGCGGCAGGCGAAAAAATGTTTAGCAATTCTTTGGCATATCTAGCAACTTTTTGCAATTTTTTTAGCAAAAATTCTAAACATTTTATAGCGAATTTCATTGGTAAAACTGGCTCGCACTGAGTGCATATTTTGTATTCCATTGGTAAAACTGGTGTCGGATTTTGAATTCCATTGGAAAACTGGTTAGAATAGTTTAGAGCTCAGTGCAACAATTCTCGCACGAGCTCTAATAGGTCGTGCGAAGTCAGTGCAGTTTTGAAAATGGCGGAATCATTGAATATGCATGGTCTAAAAACCAAAATTGAGTGGCAATCTAAACATCATCATCAAGTAGTGATGGAAATTTGGAGGTTTCAAGAAAATAAGAGAGACTACCTTCTTCCCAGAATTCATAATTTTGTTGAGTGTTTTGCACTATAATTCAATGATAAAGAGGTAGTTATTTAAAAAACTGCTCAAAATTATTTCCATGAAACATCTACTTTGTTCTTTATTGAAGTCAAGAAAGAATTTCAGGATGCGGACAAGTTATAAATAAAATTTGGGAATGGTTCGAAAACTTCAGGTTCTCGTATAGGGAATACATTTTGGGATTTAGCCGCATCAAAGGTTGGTAGAGCTGATGTTGATCATAAGTTGCAAGGTTGGTAGAGCTGATGATAATTTGCATGGGTTCTAGGAATCACCGAATCACGCCATCCAATATTATAATTAACGAATGGAGAGTGTGCGCACCAGAGGTTCATTTCATCAATCAAAGAATAATGTCTTAATAATTGAAGAAAGAAGTCAGAAAAAAAAGTATTAATTTACAGAAAGAACCTTTGAATTGAGAGAAAAAAGTTTGAATTAAAAATTAATTAAAAGAATAAAGTGAATTCAAAGAAAAAACTCAGAATTCAAAGAAGAAAATCCAAAGGATAGTATCTGAATTAAAGCCCACTGTCGTAATTTGTGTACTGTGTAGTGATTTAGGCTTTCTAGGAAGTTAATTACGAGCGAATGTGCATAATGTATCACGTGATTCTCTGTGACCAATCTGACGATGATGTTTGGGAATGGTTCGAAAACGTTAAGGCTCTTGTGGTACTGGCACCTTTTTACCATATATGTACTATTTCGATGTATGGCCCATCGCCTATACGATATCTCAACAAAAATGAGACCAAAATGGGAGGTACTTTTTGAATCTATAAGGACGGAAAGTGAAGAATGGAAACAGCCATATTGGTCAATATCTAGTCAATATTGGTTTGACAAGTTTCGTATTATTTTTTCCCTACGTCGGCATCAACGCCTATTGGTCGATTTCGATACCTATAGAGACAGAAGTTGGTCCCGCTTTGAGGACAGGTATGCTTCATATATGAGTAGTAGATGTATGCTTTTTACGAACACTTGCGTGATCCATTCGTTTGATGTTTGACATAGACAACGACGACAGCTCTGCCATTGTCAACTTTCTCTCCCGTCAGTCGAGTCCTGTCCTGTCCCTTGTTTCATGGCTCATGCTGTTGTCATGTGTCATAGCATGTTTGTTTTGTTGACAAAAAATAATAAGGAAAAAGGATTGGAAAGTTAGTATTATAACTTTTATTGAAAACTGTAAAGTATTATGAGAACTTCAAAACGTCGATAGTGTTGATATTATTGTGTAGATTGTCGTTTATTCGTGGAGAGCGTTTGTGCATATTCGACTGCTTTTACTAAATGAAAATGCAGACGAGCAGTCGGGATCTGGAACATAATCAAAATCACCATCCTGGTTCATCTGGGTCCGCGACAGGGACCCATCCGCATTCCACCACGATGAATATGCGTGATAAAGAAAAATATATCGAAACTTTTCTATTTCCTAATTGTGATCTAACAGAGAAATATGAAAAAGTCACTAAAATAGGCCAAGGAACTTTTGGGTTAGTATTGTAGGTCTCTCACAGGAACAATTGTACTCATGTTGTACATTTCAGAGAAGTATTCAAAGCTAGAGACAAAAGTAACCCCAAAAAGTTTGTGGCTATGAAAAAAGTGTTGATGGACAATGAGAAAGAGGGGGTATGTTGGGCCTCTGATGTACCTTATTGAAATGTCATTTTTATGTACTCTTTTTTCAGTTTCCAATCACAGCTCTGAGAGAAATTAGAATATTGCAACTCCTTAAACATGAAAATGTAGTGAATCTTATTGAAATTTGCAGGACTCAAGCTTCCCAACATAATAGATATAGATCTACATTTTATCTAGTTTTTGATTTTTGTGAACATGACTTGGCTGGCTTACTATCTAATGTTAATGTTAAATTCAGTTTAGGTGAAATTAAAAAAGTAGTGCAACAACTTTTGAATGGACTCTATTATATTCACAGCAATAAGATATTGCACAGGGACATGAAAGCTGCAAATGTGCTCATAACTAAAAATGGTGTACTCAAACTTGCAGACTTCGGACTTGCCAGAGCATTTAGTACTAACAAGAGTGGAGTGCCAAATAGGTAAGAAAATTCAACTCTGTATAATTATGGTTGAAAAGAGAAGTAGATCCCCTCCTCTTTATTATTGAGTTTTTTGAGCTGGAGTTTCAAAACTTTTGGACTCAAAAGTTGATATATAATGTGAACAGTTTTTGGCAGGTGATTGAACAAGTATGACCACAAGGGTGGATAAGTATGCCCATTTGAAAGAAAGTTTACTTACTTGGTATAATTGTTTTCAGTATTTACCTATTTAGCCTTTTTTCTTTGAATTATAATTTTATTGATTTTTTTGAAGATCATAAAACAGCATTTCTCAGTCAAGATAGATAGATAGATAGGCTTTATTTTTTCTTTTTGATGGTGCAATATCCAATCATCTATCTCTGTCACACTCATTGAGCTTATGGAAACTTCAAATGCCAATATCTTGAAATAACCCAAACAAACCTGGTATTGTTGAATACTTTATAATAATGTCTCACTTATTATGGAATAAAATACAGGGTGTTCCATTTGAAAATCGAAAGTTTATGTCATTTCCAGGAAAACCGGAAAAAAATTCCTAAAATGTGAGATAGTGCCCTCTAGTGAGCATATTCAATGTTTCAAATTCCAGAAATATATCTAGAAAAATATATGAGAAGTCACTTGACCAAGAAAAATCAGAAAAATTATTTAGCATGTTTACAGCATTAGGAATTGAAGACCTTGGTGCAAGAACCGGGCAAGTCCATTTTCCTCATAAAATGAGTTGAACATGTCAACCTAGACAAATTGAAATTGCGCATCTTTTGGTGCAAGAATCAGGCAAATCCGTGGCATATTAGTGGAAATATAATGGCGAAGGACTTGCCCGTTCATCCAATTTGGCTCAAGAAACAGGCAAGTCCAGGACTTGCCTGACTATTGCTCCAAGCTGCGTATGGTGGTGGGGACTTGCCTGAGTGGGGATGCCACCGTCATAACAGGTGTTTGGCTGGCCATCGTTACTCGTTAATCAGTTCATTGTTCATCTTTGAAAGTACGTGTCTAACGTTTAAATAGGTCATGTCGGAACAAGATTCAGAGTCGGAACCTTTTCAAAGTTCGGGAAGTGAATATGTACCAACTGAAACAGGTGAACCTGGAACACATAGAGGGATACGTAAAACCAAATTTCGTGTCCGCAAACAACCAAAAAAGTTAGAGAATGTCAAAAAAGGGCGAAAACGTCCAAGGCGTGAACATGAATGGGCCAGAAATGTCCGCAAGAATTCAAGGGCTAGTGGAGAAGAGTATGTGAATACTGCTAAGAAAGTCGTGTCGAAAAGAGTGGTCGGAAGAGATTGTGTTTGCCCACGACGATGTTTCTTGAATATAACCCAACAAATCAGGCAATCGGTCTTAGAAGCTTTCAATAAACTAGCAGATAAGGAGAAACAAGACCTATATCTAGCTGGGCTAATTTCGTCAAAGCCAATAGCCCGTAAACGTCAAAGGACCGGTGAAGGAACACAAAAATCAATTCCACATGTTTATAAGGTAGGTAAAACTGCAAAATCGATACATGATACATGTTTCCATGCCTAGTCTTCATAATATTGCTCACAGTGCTAAAAAAGTTTGTCGTTTTTTTGCAGATACGTGTGGGCTCCGAAGAACATCAAGTGTGTAAAAAAGCTTTTATGGCCATCCATGGAATCACCAAACATCGAGTAGACCGATTAGCTTCTCGTTTGACGACAAACATAACACCATCAGCTGATATGAGAGGAAAGCATGAAAATCGTCCCAATAAAATACCCTGTCAAATAAAAATGCAGATAGACAATCACATAAAGAGTTTTCCCAGAAGAAGTTCGCACTATAGCCGAGAAAAAAATGATGGTAAGTATTACTTACCTTCAGATTTAAATATATCAAAAATGCATATGATGTACTTGAAAAAATATGAGGCAGCTGTTTATCAACGTCTTGTCAGTGGTGAACAATGTCAACCAGAGGTCACATATGACTTTTATTACCGCCATTTTACATCGAACTACAATATCAGCTTTGGTGTGCCACGGTCAGACACGTGCCAAACTTGCGATCGTTTGGTTAACCTAATAGCTGGAGAGACAAATAATACAAACAAAGTTGCTCTGCAGACTGAGAAGTCCGTCCATTTGCATAAGGCAGAAGTATTTTACAAAAACCTCAAACAAAAGAATGCACTTGCCAAGGAGAATCCTAATGTGGAGACGTTATGCTTTGACTATCAACAAAATTTGCCACTTCCGCATATACCTGCGGGGGATGTATTCTACAAAAGGCAGCTGTGGGTGTACAACTTTTGCATTTTTTCAGCAAAAACTGGTATTTCCACGTTTTATATGTATGATGAAGCCACTGGAAAGAAAGGTTCCAATGAAGTTATCAGCTTTTTTCAACATTATATCCAAACCTACCTTCCTTTGGAAGTTACAGAGCTAAATATATTCTCTGATAATGCTTTTGCGCAAAATAAAAATCAAACTCTCGTAAAATATTTGTACACTTTAACTAACATAGAGTCAAATAATATCACCCAGGTTATCCATCAATATCCTGAGCCAGGGCACAGCTTCCTTCCCTGCGACCGTTCCTTTGGGCTTATCGAAAAAAATAAGAGAAAAAAGGAACGAATATATACTCCAGAAGAATGGAAGAAGCTTGTTACAGAAACATCTAAAAATTTCAAAGTGGTAGACGTCAATCAAAAAATGATCCATAATCACACAGAACATTTCAAAGCACTGTTCAAAGGATTTAGAGGCACCAACAAGGAGAAGTTCGCAATCTCAAGCTACAGAGTTTTGAAATATATTAAGAATGATGGCTTCATTCAATGCTCAGCCACTGCCGGGCTTACTATTTATTTAAATTTTACGCTGATCAAGACCGGTCCACAAAGTCAGTTGTCAATGCCAATCGAAAAATGTTATAAAAATGTTCTATCAATAAACGATAAAAAAGTAAAGGATTGCAAGAGTTTGGTCCAAAAATATGTTCCAGCAGCTTATCAAGATTATTATAAGACTATCTTCGGAGATTTGCCGACAGATCAACCAGAAGACGATCCACCCGAAACCTTTGAAGAGAATGAGGGCTACGACACTGATTCATCATTAATTTAGGAGTGAAACATTGTTGATTCTTGCAAACAATAAATAATATCTCCGAATAGTGTTCGTTTTTTAATATTTTGGTGCAAGGAACAGGCAAGTCCAAATTTTTGATATTTTTTTCAAATATGTAGATGGTGAAAATGTTACTAATTTTTCATGACAATCTAACGCATTCCATCTATTTTACATGAAATCAATCAATTTATATATTTGCTTGAATTTATTTTCGAATAGAACAGTTTTTTTCATTTTCCCAACATTTGAGAAATATGGACTTGCCCGGTTCTTGCACCAAGGTCTTCAATTGTTGTGCATACACACTATCATAAGGAACTTTCCAGGAACTATTCAGGACACCAATATATATACATGAAAACACTAAAACCTTTAGTATGGATTGTTCCATTTCATATCAAAATCCTAATTTCAGTGGACTAATAAGGCGAGAAATACAGTATGTACAGAATATCAATTTTACTAAACTTTTCTGAAGGATGTTTTCAATTCTTCAAAGACAACTACCCCTCAGATGACCTTCAAATTGATCATCTCAGAACAACGTCCTAAAGCCTGTCCAGAATTTTAACTTGGGTTTAAACTTCTCTGAAGAGTTTTTACATTTTTTCAAAACCACTCAACACCTCAGACATGATCAGTACTAATTAACAAAATATGGATTGATTATTTGACTATTTTCAAAAAAATATATAAATCCAATACCACTGGTGATCGGGCCATCTGAAAATGGGGCTGTACAGGATAGTCAAATTAACCTCACATATTTATTTTATATTGATCTTTCCATTTATTATTCAAATTCATCACAAATATTTTTCTCATAATTAAAATAATCACCTTCCATTGATGAAGTGAAATACCGATATGTACCAATAGTATCATTATCATTGTCAAAATGTAACCATATTCCACACAAATAAGGATTCAGCTCCACAGTAGAAGTATACTGAGATTCACACAAGACATAATTCGTATATTATGTAAGTCGTTGCATAGGATTGCGTTGTATATGTCGCTACGCGTTTTTCCGTGTTTCTCGGGTCATGAAATATCGTGAATTTCATCAATCAGTAAAAAAATTATCAGATCTCCTACAGATCTCTGAGGAGAAAACGGAACATTTTTCACTGAAACAGGCCCATTGGCCGCTAGAAAATGGTTGCTAACTTCACCATGTTTATGTCAGGCTAGTTTACCGTTTATCGATCTTGTTACTCTCCCCAAACAAAAAGCACCAGTTCGGTTATAACCCTGTGTCGAAACCACTGACATCACTATCTAGACCGGTATATGTCATATCCAAATTGCTTACCAGAAAACACTTGTTCACTGCGCAAGAACCCTCAAACTGTCGTTCTTGACAGCGAGTCATGTTTCGGGATGTTCGGGAACATGAGTAAGAGTGAGTAAGATATATAACTGGTCTAAATGCGCATGATTCATGTCTACCGTTCTATCTCGTGAGCTTCTTTCTTATGACATCAGCTGTCTAGCATCTAGATAATAGTTCATGACATTGCCCTATACCCGATCGTCTTATAAATAAATTCCTTAGATTCACGAACCGCGTGGTAACTGTGGTACTGCCCGCCCGAGCTACTACTATTGTTGGGCGAGCGCAACTACGGCCCGCCGGTGTCCATATATTGTTATTCAGTCTGAGCGTTGAACACCTTCGACATTGAACTCTTCCCAAAGGTCTCCTGGATCGATATAGTGGTGCCGCACGACGTTATATAGATCACCCGACAAGAATGATTTCGCAGAGTTATCCCCACCATTCGCGATCTCATTTATTTTTCCGTTTATGGCGTTTAGGATTTTTGGCATATGGCTATTCTCAAATAACTCATGATTCACTCTGAGGTTTCATCATTCCCATAGATTCCCGATCCGCGTGGTCACTTTGTGGTACCGCCCGCTCGAGCTACTGCTGGGCGTGGACAACTACGGTCCGCTCGTCGACCCTTGCGGCACTGCCTGCATCATGGCGGAGATGTGAACTGTGGACCAGGGACCCTATTCTCAAATGGTGCTCATTCTCGAATGACGCATTCGACAATTTTCGATAGACAAATTGTAGAGTGGTCTTAGACAGTCGACTTTTTTATGTCGAATGAGAAATTGAATATTTGACTGATTTCTTCACTTGTTATTTCGAAAATGGCAGCTTCATTGATAGAAATTGAAAATTTAGAGAGCCAAGAGAATTAATAACGGCCACGAGAGAACGTATATAAGAATGCGTTCAGATTTTTATCGGGCATAAAATGTATGAAAACATTAAGGTAAGGAATTAGTGAGAGTCCATTGCACTGCTAGTGAGTGCTAGAACCATTAGTGGTACAGAGACATGGGTCTTCTGTATGTTTTTGTCAGATAAAAGTGTAGCTCATACTATTTGTTTTTTTCATCAAGTTGAGTGTTTCCGAGATTGTTTCCTTTTAAGATGAAGCACAATAACTTTTTTCTTTCCAATGTCATTATTATTTCAACATAACCTCCATCATAACAACAAAGAAACTACAACACATTGGCACAGAACACATTCGAGAATCGTTAATTCGATGTTGCCAGTTCATGCTATTCGACAAAATTTGTCTCATGCGAGTTTGAAGTCGGAAGCAATCGAGAATACCACACTCAAACGTTGTGCGACAATCTCTATCGACATATGTCTCATACGACATATTTCGTTCGACATTCGAGAATGGACCCATTATGCAGGGACCAAGTGAGCAGCACCAGCTGACGCTCATCTCGCACGCTGCAGAGTTATCCCCAATATTCGCGAATCCATTCATTCATCCGTGTTTATCGTTTAGGATTGTGGCATATACTTTTCAATGATCCATGAATGCATCGTGGTGTCTATCTATTGTTATCATAGTCTGAGGGGTAAACAGCTTCAACATTGAACACTTCGCAAAGTTCCTGGCTGGCATAGAGTTCACTCCGATCGACGTGTTGCCGCGTGACGTTAGGTCACCCAACAACAATGATTCCGCAGAGTTATCCCCACCGTTCGTATTCGTTCGTGTTTGGCGTTTAGGATTGTGGGCATGTACCTACTCTTCAATGATTTATGAATAAATCGCAGTGTCTATCGTTATTCAGTCTGAGGTTTGATCTTCTCCGCAGATTCAAAACTGCGTGATCCTTTTGTGGTACAGACCGTCCGAGCTGTTGCTAAGCGGACGCAACTCAGGCCCGCCTGTCAACTTGTGGACGCCGGCTGCATAATGGCAGAGATGTGAACTAGGTCGCCCATCATGCAGAGTAACAGCGAGCAGCACCAGCTGACACTCATCCCTGAGCTAATTTCGCAGATTTTCCCCCACCATTCGCGATTCCATTCATTCATCCGCGTTTGTCGTTTAGGATTATTGGCGTATAATTTTTAATGATTCATGAAGGCATTGTGGTGTCAATCTATTGTTATTTAATCTGATAGCTAAACACCTTCAACATTGAAGTGCCACGCGACTTTATAGATCGCCCAACAACAATGATCCCGCCGAGTTATCCCCACCATTCGCGATCCCATTCATTTATCCGTGTTTGTCGTTTGAGATCGTTGGCATATACCTATCCTCAAACGATTCATTAATGAATCGCGGTGTCTATCTATTATTATTTAGTCTAAGGATGGAACACCTTCAACATTGAACTCTTCCCAAAGGTCTCCGGCATATAGTCCACCTGGGTCGAGATAGTGATGCCACGCGACGTTGGATCAGCCAACAAGAATGATTCCGCAAAGTTATCCCCACCATTCGCAATCTCATCTATTTCTCCTTTCATGGCATTTAGGCTTGTTATACGACGCTATACATAGTGGAGTATACTACGGCCTTGCCAAAAATGCTATCTCGGAAACTAAGCGAGATAGAGGTATAGTTACTTTGGAGAAAATGATCCCTATCGAATTTTGAGCAACTTTGGTTTTTGTGTGTGGTCTGTCTGTCTGTCTGTCTGTACTCTGTGTTAATCATAAATCGATATATCTCCGGAACCCTTTGACATATCGACTTGAAATTTTGCCATCTTGTTGTACTCAAAACAATATTATGTCATTGGAATATGAAGGAAATCGGAAAACTCTTAGGTGGTTTTTCCGGGTTTCTTCGATTTTTCACCGGAAGTTCCTTGTAACCACTCTACAAATCGCAAAAGTGGTCCGATCGATTTCATTTTTTGTGAAAAAAACCTCTATTAGAGAGAGACGAAGCCTATTGAAATCGAGCAGGATCGGGAAATTCCAAGTGGGTTTTTCAAGGAGAATTTCCGAAAAACACGGTTCACTTTAAAACGACATATCTCCTGAACCAATAGACTAAATCCAAATTTGAAAAATGCACCGTATGCCTCTTCGATGACGCAACAAATTATTATTGAACTATTTTTTCGTGCATCCATCGAAAAATGGAAAAACAAATGAAATTCCGAACATCAAAATTTGAAATCCTTTCAATTCAATATATATCGAAAACAAATGGAAAAATCGAAAATTATCAGAAGTGCAAAGTTATTCACTGGGACATTTCTTACAAATTATTCTCCATAAATTTTTCTGTAAAACCAATAGTACAGGAAATAAAGTGGAAAATATGAAAAAAAAAATTTTAACGACCCATAGGGTACTATGAAGATATATTGAAAAACATAGATTATAGATAGATGAAGCTCATCGACTTCCACTGAACCATGAAATATTTTTTCATTTTGTTGATTGGAAGATGGAACAAAAGTGTTGAAAATTTTATTCTCAGATAATTCCAAATATCTCGAAAATAACTGAAAATATCTGAAAATGTTATAGAACCAAAATTATTCCTTTCGATAAAATCTACAAAAAATCCCGATAACATTTTTCTCTGAATTCAATAGTTCGGGAGATACGATGAAAAAACTAAAAAATTTACAAGTTCCCAGATAATCACTTGCCAATAGAAAACTAGAAAACGAAACAAAAACAAAAAAAAGTAAAAAAAGCACACTCGACTGTCTTGATTTTTTTCCCATAGACTACGTACCTAGCTCACTCTACTGTCTTTATTTTTGCCAATAAACTAGGTACGGGCTAAGAGCGTAGTTTGTACGAAAAATCTCCAGTTCTCTAAACTTTCATAGCGTCGTATACACATCATTGGTGCCCAATGATAGTTTCAATATAAAAATATGCTCATGATATGGTGCCATGGCCTCAACTTCCATCTCACATAAGCAATGATAAAATATCATCTGCTTTTATAACGTCGTATAAATTATCTGACCTTTATACTAATCTGATACCTTTCAAAAACTACGTACCCCAATTGTTGGCATATAGCTATTCTCAATGATTCATGATTCATGATTCCCTTAGATTCACAAACCGCGTAGTCACTTTGTGGTACCGCCCGCCCGAGCTGCTTCTGGGCGAGCGCAACTACGGCCCGCCCGTCGACCTGTGGGGCGCCGGCTGCATAATGGCCGAGATGTGGACCAGGTCGCCCATTATGCAGGGCAACAGCGAGCAGCACCAGCTGACGCTTATCTCGCAGCTGTGCGGCTCGATAACGCCGGCGGTGTGGCCCACGGTCGAGACGCTGGATTTGTACAAGAAGATGGACATGCCGCAGAAGCAGAAGAGGAAGGTGGGTGTTGAATTAGATTAGCGATGGTAGATATCCATAGGTTGTCCCAAAATCACATAGAAAAATTTCAACTAAAGAATAAAAACTCTAGAAATGAAAAAAAGTAAAAAAGTTGAATGTTCATGGGTCAAAAATGGCTCGCATATCAATTTGAAACGGCTTGGCCGATTTGCACAAACAAAGCGGTTTTGGATAGATAATCGAAGGGCGTACAACACCAGGAACCACGTGACCAAACTTTACAACAAGAAAAAGGTTGATGGTCCCGTTTTGACACATGGTACGTGACCACAACCATTTTGTTGTTGTTAAGTAGTACCTTTTACCTGCATTTCACACGACCTTACTGGCTTGTTCTGTTGAAAAGTTGGAGGGGGGGGGGGGGGTAGAGGACTTTTTACGTCCTCACTATTATATTCGAACATCTTATGGTCAGGCAGAGGAACAGTCACTGATAGTTCAAAATTGCTTACATTTTGTGATCAACGTTCTGGGTATTTCACTTTGTCCTTTATCACAGCCACAGAAACGATACAAACGGTCCGCGAACAGTCACAATTATTGTCTGTTAAACTAGATGAACACTTTCGAATATCACTGGTGACACTTTGTACTTAATTCGAGAAGACTTGAGACTTCTTCATGGATAGTAGTGCACCTATGCCGTCACCATCTCACTCGAACGCTATTTAACCCATTCATTATTTTTACATAAAATACCTGCCTAACCCAACGTAGTTTGGACGTTCCAACGCCGTTCAGGCATCTAATGTGGTGTTCCGTGGCGTTTCCGTGACATTTCCGTGACGTTCCTGTGTTCCGTGACGTTTCCGTGACATCTGTGACGTATCCGTAACATGTCAGTGACGTATCTGTGACATATCAGTGACGTATCTGTGTCATGTCCATGCCGTTTCCGTGTCTGGACACATTCAAGCTACGATAGGTTAGACTTATTTTTGTTTGCCGTTCATTGGTTAGGTTTGATGCTACTTATTTGGTGGCTCCTTCGTCGTTATACAAACATACAAACACGTCGCCAAACAAGTAACATCAAACCTAACCAATGAACGGCAAACAAAATAGGTCTAACCTATCGTAGCTTGGATGTGTCCAGACACGATAACGGCATGGCATGTCACAGATACGTTACTGACATGTCACAGATACGTCACTGACATGTTACGGATACGTCACAGGTGTGTCACGAAATCGTCGCGGAAATGTCACGGAAACGTCACGGAAATGTCACGGAAACGTCACGGAACACAGGAACACCACGGAAATGTCACGGAACATCACGTTTGATGCCTGAATGGCATTGGAACATCCAAATTACGTTGGGTTAGGCAGGTATTTCATGTTAGAATAATGCATGGGTTAGATAGGGGTCGAGTGAGATGGTGGCGGCATAGGTGCACTACTATGGATTCACTGAATATTGTTCCCAGGCCCATTGGAAATACTTTTAATAATAGTCAGCCATAAAACTCTATACGTTGGTACCTTAGATATTAAATATAAGAATCCGTCTTTTGGGACTCGTAAAATTTCACATCATCAAGATGACATGAAAATATCAAATATCAACCTAACATCAGATGAGGAAATATAAATGACAAATTTCTAACCAAACAATTGATGAACACTACGAAGGTGCGAATATATTACCGCACATGAGATACCCCTTAGATTTTAGCTATTCAGTGACTTGTCATTCGTGACATTGACGTCTTCTGCGCAACACCAAAATGCACTAATCAATTCTACCTGAATTGATCCATATACAGAAAGAGCGCAACAATTATGTTTGTTGTTGTGACGTTTTCGTTGCGTTTTCGTGGCGTTTCCATGTCATTTTTGATACAATTCCTCTGTCTATACTAGTGGCGGGGCCATGTGGCAGGATAGCGGGGCTAACTGGCGGATCTTAAACTAAAATGCCACGGAAACGTCACAAAATGCAACAAAAACGTCACAAATGCGTCACAGAAACGTCACTAGTTTGTGACACGTTTGTCAAAGTAGCAAAATCGTCACAAAACCTGAATGACCTTGAAAGAGTGAAAAATTGCAGAATTAACTCCAAAGAACTGGCCTAGTACCTAATATGGTTAAATCCCCGCGTTGATTACAATAGAAACATGACATTGACACGTCTCGTCGCGCAGGTTAAAGAACGCCTGACTCCCTACCTCAAGGACCCCTACGCGTGTGACCTGCTCGACAAATTGCTCGTGCTCGACCCGTCGAAGCGCGCAGACGCCGACACGGCCCTCAACCACGACTTCTTCTGGACCGACCCGATGCCGTGCGACCTCGGCAAGATGCTGGGCAACCACACGACCAGCATGTTCGAGTTCCTAGCGCCGCCGCGCAGGGCCAACCAGATGCGGCACCATTCGATGCCGCGGCCTGCTGCGTCGACGATCACCGACGGCGGGTACCAGGATAGGGTGTTTTAAGGGGGCCAGGCGGGCTTCTTCTTCTCTTAAAGAAAAAACAAAATGACGCTAAGTCGGTCGACCACAAAGTTTTATTACGAAAATTGACTTTTTGTGACTAATTTCGGCTCAAACAGCCATCTTCAGACACAATACACAGTACCTGTATGGCTGTTTGTGCCGAAACTAGTCACAAAAAGTTAATTTTTGTAATAAAACTTTGTTTTTTCTTCGAAAAAATCTGGATCACTTTGAATTTGAGAAGGATGGATGGTCTCCATGACTCTTCTCCTTTTGTTTGTGGGAGAATGTACATGGTGTCCAGTGTTGATATCTCATTTATCTTTTGATTTTGCATAACTGTATGAGATACAGGGCGATTTTGAAAATTTATCCTTTTGGTAGTCCTTAAATAAACAAATGCGAATCACAAAATTGAAAAAAAAAGTCCAAATCAGTTTGTTTTTACTGGAACACCCTGTATATTTTCAACTCTAGTAAAACATAATTTTCTTCTGTTTACAAATATATAGTTTTCTAATATATTTACATATTTAGCATTGAATCAAAGTTGCCAATAAAATTTAGATGGCTGTGGACACAACAAAATTGCCTTAGAATCAAAACAGACATTTTTTGACAGTTATTCAATAAAAATGGGTTATTCTGTTGAGGAAAAATACGGGATAATAAGATTATAGTATGAAATAACGGCTCAAGGAACCATTAGCAAACTATATATATTTGTGAACAAACGAAAAACATGTCACAACAGTTGAAAATATTCAGGGCGTTCCATTAAAAAAACTGATTTGTCTCTTTTTCCTATTTTGCGATTCGCATTTGTTTATATAAGGAGTGCCATTTTCCATGTTTTTGTTAACTCATGGTGCATCTCCTATGCACTGGGTGGGCTGAATAGGGCACTTTCAAAGGGAAAGTCATTTTTACGACAATTTTCGAAAAATATACTGTAATTCAGAAACGATCATAGATATCGATATGCGGTTTTCATAATTCTGTTTTTCATAAACATTGACCCTCAGACACTGACAACAGTTTTTATCTAGTATAAAAATAGGAATTTCCCTTTGAAAGTGTCCAATTTGACTCACCCTGTACACTTCAATATAACATTTATTAATTAACACGCAGTTGAGATTTGAACAACATAATTGTCAGAGTCTAACCATAGTATCTGATGTAAGCCTGTATGAGTGTATGTTATCATCTTCATCGAAAATATATACGTCAGCCCCGGTAATAGACAATAACTTTTTCCTACTAGCGTGCGGAAAAATCCACTTTTCCGCTCTCATTCTGGTTTTGAAAGAGGCACTTTTCCTTACTAGTGCGAGAAAACCTTCTTCCTAACTTCTGGTTTTGAAAGAGGCACTTTTCCTTACTAGTGCGAGAAAACCTTCTTCCTAACTTAGTCTGGAAAAGTAAATTTTATAACTTTTTGTGGAATACTACTGGCATTGCAATATTAAATGATAATGAATGTTTCTTTATATCAACTTTTGGGTTTTTCCGCACGCTAAAAAAAATAGTACACCTAACACGTGCGAAAGTGACTTTCCCGCACGCGATTGCAATTGTTAGCTAAACTACTTTTTTCTACTAGCGTGCGGAAAAGTCCATTTTTCAGCACTCATTTCTGTGTTGAAAGAGTCCATTTTCTCCACTTGTTACGTAAACCTCAATTATATATGTTATTTGATTATGAATGAACATTTTGAGCAGTTGTATACCTTCTTAAGCAGGAGAATTTTGGTGAAAAAAGTTGTGAATGGATTTTTGTATACTATTTTATACACATTAAACTCATTTTTTGCCTGACCTTGTTATATGGCTGCCCGTTGTTGTAGTGATTAGAATTTGATGCTCTCAAATCATCATTACATAATGTACGATAAGGTTATTTAAATTAGTTTATAATTTTGAGAAACTGAGACCCAAGAATAAATATATTATTTATAATACTGATGTAGTTTTAATTTTTTTTCCTATCAAAATTGTATTTCTCAGAATTTATTAACGTTTTTAAACGTATAACTTCAAAAATTGATATCCAGTGGTGTTTTGGGATGGGGAATACGAATACTTTCACCTTATTTTCACTGTGGCCATTAGAATGGCTCTTACCAATGGGCTTCTTATGGTTTAGAATGGCCACAACTTTTTTCTCAGTGCAAATTCTCACTTCATTTATTGAGGTAATAATTTTCTAGTCAGTATCAAGCAAAAAAAATACTCGATATTTAGTGTTCGATGCAGTACCGGAATATTTAAATTATTTCGAATAAAAAATGTTTGCTGTTATTTTCTTGGATGTTATTTGATCAGTGAATTAGCGGTGCAAAAATGGAGTCTTCAAAATACTTTCTTGGAGTGTACTCTGTGGTAAGTTATTGCTTCAAATCGGCTTATTTTGACCTCAGGAATATGTGCTAAGAATTTGTACAGACCTTTTATATAGGGACATCCTGTATATCAATTTTCTATTTCGTAGTTTGCCATCTCTAATTGAAAAGGTACCCATGTGTTAATTATTTCACACTCATGAATTAGTTCCTTGTTTTTTTTTTATATTTTATCTAAATATTTGATTGTTATGAAAAAATATACCCGTATATGTATAACTGGTTTTTTGTTTTTCAATGATGAAAGAATCCTGTGAAAAAATACTTGTTACTTTCATTATAGACTGCCAGAGTGCCAGACGAGCTAATCTATTATTTATCACTTTATTTGATTCCAATAAAACATGCTATTTTTTCTGCAAGCGAAATAATTGATATCTAATTTAAAATATAAGTGAAAATACCACTATTTTGAGTCACTTGAGCATGTCAGTGTCAAAGTAGAGTCCGACCACGATAACTTTGGGACAGCACGTGGTCGCGTATGCATTGAATATGCATATATGCGTTGCGTCACATGCTGTCCCAAAGTTAACGTGGTCGGACTCTAGCTATATCAACATGTTTTTAATTCTTGAAGTTAAACCTCAACTTTGACTCCAAGAAACTAAAAGTGTTTCCTAGCAACATACATATTAATCATTTTATTGTGTCAGTAACGACAGTAAGAGAAACGTCAACTCCAAGAGCTAATTTTGGAACAAAAATGGTCGACTTTTGAGCCTATTGCAGAACCAATAAAGTATCTTATATAGTGTGTAGGTGAACCAAATATTTATGTTTCCAGATGTTTCGGGATTTTCTATCTCGTTTCTTTGAATGAATATATTAGTATTATTCTATTATATTTGTAGTAAGATCATTTTATCAAGGTGTTACGACTGTTCAGTTCTATTCAGAGAGAGTACCTATCTGAGATTACCTCTTTAGATTTCTGAAAGTAAAATTTTTCAACACAATGCCATTTTTTGACGATCTATCTTTCTCCTCACTACAAATATATTGAAATAACACTCAAATTTCTATTCATAGAAAGGAGCAGAGGAAATCCCAATGAAGTACCTCTGAAAGTGAAAACCATTTCAGTAAAGAAAATTAAAAGAATTTATATAATTATAAATAAAAAAGTATCTCAACAACAGTACTGATGTATATATCATCTTCACCCCCTTCTAAAATCGCCCCTTGTAGACTGCATCATATACAGGGTGATGCACGGTGGATATAGCCTATTAGAAGTATCTGGAGAACGAATAGACAGAACATTCTGAAAATTGGGTTTCTTCGATAATTGAACATTCTCTATCCGTCTAAAATATTATCATCGATTCAATGTTGCCACATCTATCAGAAACAACTAGCAACTTCGTTATTTCAAATGATACACCCTGTATTTTATTGCATTTTTAGATTCTTCCTGAAGAGCTGATTTCATCGATGTATCACACTTGGGGTCTAGCAGGAATGATTACAGAGATATAGGGTGTTCAAAATCGAGATTTTTCAATTTTAAGATTTATTTTTTGTGTCGAAACTATTCATTATCGATCAAAACGGTTGACATGCCCCTATCTTAACATTTGATTGACTATCTACTGGAATTTGATTGGAAAAAATACAGGGTGCTTCAAGATTCAGAATTCTGATCACCCTGTATCTGTTCTAATTTAATGTCAATAGATAGTGAATCGAAAGTCAAGATAGGGACATGCAAGCCGTTTTGATCAATAATGAATAGTTTCGACACAAAAAATCCTGAAATTGAAAAATCTCGATTTTGAACACCCTATATCTCTGTAATCATTCCTGCTAGACCCAAAGTGTGATACATTGATGAAATCAGCTTTTCAAGGAGAATCTAAAAATTCAATAAAATACAGAGTGCTCTATATAAAATAACGAAGTTGCTAGTTGTTTCTGATAGAAGTGGCAACACTGTATCGATGAAAATATTTTAGACGGATATAGAATGTTCAATTATCAAAGCATTCCAATTTTTAGAATGTTCTGTCTTTTCGTTCTCCAGATACTTCTAATAGGCCATCCACCGTGGATCAGCCTGTATATTGATGTGGATAATTTTTAGTATATATAGTCATTTCCAAATCACCTTGTATTATGCCTATTATAATTCCTTCTAACTCTCTGAAACTTTCATCTATTACAAGACTGGAAAATCCTCAGTAATAAAAAATCCAAGGAAATCATTATTGTAAAATAATACACTGCTGATAGAATTTAGTATTGATTATATCATCAATAGGAATAGCATATGATTCATTTCCCTAGAATTGTTATTTAATACTGTAGGTAAATATTATGTGTACCTGGAATTCTATTTTATATCAACCAAGTAACCATAGGTATAACTTAAGTTGTTTTGAAGGAATAATTCAAAATGTATTGGACTTCTTTTATTAAATAACTTTATACACATACATAAGATAAAATCATATCAATAACTTTTTCATTAACTATCAAATATGAAACATCAGTTCTACAAGGAATTAATCAATATATTTTGGTGATGATAGTCTTCATAAATTCACAAATCAATAATATATAAACCTCCAAATAAACAGTACTCTCATTTTGCCAATTCATTGGACAACCAGTCCAGTCCTTCATACAATCCATTCCCTTGTGTTGCACAGGTTGCCTGGATATACCACTTCCTGTTCTTCAAGGTGTGAAGCTTCAATTTGTCAGTCAACTCAGCTGTGGACATGGAGTTTGGCAAATCCTGTTTATTGGCAAAAATGAGCAAAATTGAGTCTTTCAAGTCTTCTTCACTCAACATATTGTGCAATTCTTGCTCAGCCTCCACTATGCGATCTCTATCATTAGAATCAACTACAAAAATCAGTCCATCTGTATTTGCAAAGTAGTGCCTCCACAATTTTCGGATTTTGGTCTGTCCACCTACATCCCAAACTGTAAATGATATATTTTTGTATTCTACTGTTTCAACGTTGAAACCGATAGTTGGTATTGTGGTTACAATTTCGCCTAGTTTCAGCTTATACAATATTGTAGTTTTCCCAGCTGCATCTAAGCCTACCATCAGAATCCTCATAGGTTTTTTGCTAAACAACCTATTGAATACTGCAGATATGGTGAGACCCATATTGGAATTTCTATAATTACCAGTTCAAGGGAGTTTCTTCTAAATTCACTTTATTCTTGCAATTGTCTAGTTAGGTAGGTACTTATTGTGTGTATGTGGTATTATCATTACGTGGCCAATCACACGAAAACCATTTGCAGTAACGTGGAAATATTACGGAATTTTCTAAATAGTGGTATTCTACGGTGTATTCTGGGTGTCAGACGCGAGATTTCCAAAATATTTTACCAAAATTGAACACCATAAGATAATAAACTTCCAAATGTCAAGTAGGTATTCGCATTCGGAATGTGATGAAGTGGATACTGAAACGTCAGTACGTCGACGAATTAACGTCAACGTCATATATTTCAACGTCAGCTGTTTTGGTGGCGCGAATTCAATCTGACCTGAAATGAGGCATCTAGAAACAGGGCGCAACAAATAATATTCGCATAAACAGGTGATCCTGGAGGAATACATCATTAAAATAGCGGATCACTATCGGCCCCAACACTAATAAATGCATTCACAGTACTTCTTTTCGATGCCTCATTTCGTGTCATATTGAGCTCGTGGCTCGTGCGTTTTTTAAGTCATATATCTACTACTCATATATGAAGCATAGCTGTCCTCAAAGCGAGACCAAGTTCTGTCAAATCGACCAATAGGCGTTGATGCCGACGTAGGGAAAAATAATACGATTATATTGTATATGATTGCTACTAATTTCAAATTTTCCATCCTTTAGATTCAAAAAGTACCTCTCTTTTTGGTCCCATTTTTGTTGAGATATCGTATAGGCGATGTGCCATATATAGGATCTCTGTTGTTCCATATTTTTTTTTATCGCTTGGAGCGCACGAAAGGGAATCCCTATAATGTTCAAAGAACATCGTGCATCCCTAGGGAAGATAGGGACAGGAGGTAGGTATTGGAATTTTTTTTTGAACTTTTGGAGATTATAAATGTTGTTGGGAATACTTCCACAGGCAATGAATTCCAGAGCCTAGCCGTTCTATGGATATTTCGTGAACGCTGTCAACCGGCGATTATTTCCAGGAATATGGTTCTATATGGTTGTTCAAATTATTGACTTTGGATAAGTATTCATTAGATTGCTATTGGTGTATGTAAATATTTTACATAAATGTCAAGACTTGCGAAAATTTTAGGCATACCTACTAACGATTTTTCATTAATGGGATGGAAAATGTCTTGATATTCTTCAAGTCAGTTTGATGTTGATAGAGTTATAGAGTATATATTTTGGGCCTTTGGGCCACAGAACTCAGAAATTGCCTAATTTTCATTGCAAAATAAAGGTTTTTATTCAAGTAGGTACATATGCAAGCATTATTCTTTTGGTAACTATTATCTTAATGCTAAAAAATAATGATCATAACAAAATAGCTTATTTAGCAATATCATAAAAAAAACTGAAATTAGAATCATCTATTATATAGAATAAGAATCCTTAATCACTGTTGCATATTCTTTTAAAAAATTCAGAGCATTTTCTCATCACATTTAGTTGGTCCTCATTTCAGATCAGTGAATATGTTATAAACTATTATTCATTCTGGTTTTCCCAGTTTCTTTCTTTTTCTTGATGCATTTTTCATTATTGTCCCATCACCCATGGTTGTTCTGTTAAAATGCTTGGGATTAGTATACAATCTATATTCATGGGTTTCCTCATGTTTGGATCTTCTGACTCCTTGTTTTCTATGTAGTGGTGAGTATAAACTGTGCTCAGAATTTTCAGACCTATCAATTCCTGTCTTGCTATTCCTCTTTTTATTAATTTTAATCTGCCATTTGTTTGTTGTTTCATGGGTGGTCTCCATAATGACCTCTTCTTCTTCAGAATTATTCTTGCATTCTTCAGAGGTATTACTAGATTTATCATTATTGTTTTGAACATCTTCATCTCCACTAGATGCCAGTACATCAAAATAATTTCTAGTGAAAATGTTTATTGGATGTTTGATGGACTTTTTTTTAGACTCTTTTGAATATTTCTTCCTCAATTCATCACTGGTATTTTTATTATTCTTATGTGGACAACACCTAGATGCTTGTACTATTATGACATTACTAGGTGAAAAATTAATGGGGGGTGGTTGAAATTTGAAATATTCTTCATCAAAGTCACTGTTACCACTTTCACTTGTTTCATAATCACTATGATTCAAGTGTATCTTGTGAGGATCCATTATCAGTGGGAATAGGTACATCTGAAACAAATTAACTGAATGGATTATCATCAAGTACTTTTTTTTTGTTTCTATAACAATCCAAAGGGTTTCCATTACCCAGTTCTCACTCTTCAGCAACGCCACTGTTCCTAACCAAATGTTTTGAGGCAGAGGGTATTTTTCTAAATGTTTCATTGAACTTGAAACTAGATAATACACCTACAGTAGAATTATAATATCTAGACAAGTAATATAATGCACCACAGAAGATAACAATAATAAGCAAGTAGGTAGCGAGGTTAGGTTTATAATCCATATACCTACCTATTACTTACCAATTTTCAAGGAACTTGATATCTTGGGAAGTTCGAAGAGCACTCTGCTACTCTTCATAAGATTACAGGGCACAAGGATGAAAATATTGATGATGTAAAACTATTGAATTTATTATTTCGTTAATATAAAAATTTGAGAATATCACTTCCTCCAAAAAAAAATCGAAAATAAAAGCAAACTGCTCGTTCTAGTTCCGAGCACAGAACTAAAACACAACACAGTGTTTTAGTTCTGTGGTTCCGAGACTTCTAATTTCTAATATTGCCATTCACCATTCACTGCCATTGTCTATTCTATAGGCCACCAAAATTCACGTCTAGGTAGTAGTATGGTCATGAATTTATATAAATGTGCAAAAGTTGGAGGTGCTAGGGTTGTTGCTTGTGTGATATCAGTGATATCGGTATGCTTTCCTTATAACAATTCTGTTTTTCAAATAATATAATCAATACATTTCGTACTGATGGCTGATGGCTTGATGCCATATAAATCATAACTTTAATATCTTACGACTAGAAAGCAATTTTCTGTCGTTCGCCACAGGTAGAGTCACTGGATGGTATTTAGTTTGATAGCCATCCAGTGACTCTAGCCACAAGGACCTGTGTGAAAAAATGTCTCTCGCCAGAGCCTAGTTACTTTAGCAATAAAGTTCAGCAATATTTTTTATTTTTTCCGTTACGCATTCTGCGATAACAATTTTCCAGTATGTTTATTGAGGATACTCAAGGAAGAAAATGTACTAATCGAAACAGATTTTCCGGATGTCCAGGGCCGGACAGGGGCCAGCAAAAATTTATAACTTCCTTATTAGGGATCCTGCCACTTACATATTTCAGTATGTCATTCGGAAAGACAAAACGAAGAAATGAACGGTATCAGAATATTAAATCCGGGCGTTCAGGGCCGGACAGGGGCCAGCAATATTTGATAACTTTCTTATTAGGGATCCTGCCACTTACATATTTCAGTATGTCATTCGGAAAGACAAAACGAAGAAATGTACAGTATCAGAATATTTAATCCGGGCGTCCAGGGCCGGACAGGGGCCAGCAATATTTTATAACTCTCTTATTAGGGATCCTGCCACTTACATATTTCAGTATGTCATTCAGAAAGACAAAACGAGGAAATGTACAGTATCAGAATATTTAATCCGGGCGTCCAGGGCCGGACAGGGGCCAGCAATATTTTATAACTTTCTTATTAGGAATCCTGCCACTTACATATTTCAGTATGTTATTCAGAAAGACAAAACGAAGAAATGTACAGTATCAGAATATTTAATCCGGGCGTTCAGGGCCGGACAGGGGCCAGCAATATTTTATAACTTTCTTATTAGGGATCCTGCCACTTACATATTTCAGTATGTCATTCAGAAAGACAAAACGAGGAAATGTACAGTATCAGAATATTTAATCCGGACGTCCAGGGCCGGACAGGGGCCAGCAATATTTTATAACTTTCTTATTAGGGATCCTGCCACTTACATATTTCCGTATGTTATTCAGAAAGATAAAACGAAGAAATGTACAGTATCAGAATATTTGATCTGGGCGTCCAGGGCCGGACAGGGGCCAGCAATATTTCATAACTTTCTTATCAGGGGTCCTGCCACTTACATATTTCAGTATGTTATTCAGAAAGACGAAACGAAGAAATGTACGGTATCAGAATATTTAATCCGGGCGTCCAGGGCCGGACAGGGGCCAGCAATATTTTATAACTTTCTTATTAGGGGTCCTGCCACTTACATATTTCAGTATGTTATTCAGAAAGACAAAACGAAGAAATGTACAGTATCAGAATATTTAATCCGGGCGTCCAGGGCCGGACAGGGGCCAGCAATATTTTATAACTTTCTTATTAGGGATCCTGCCACTTACATATTTCAGTATGTTATTCAGAAAGACAAAACGAAGAAATGTACGGTATCAGAATATTTAATCCAGGCGTCCAGGGCCGGACAAGGGCCAGCAATATTTTATAACTTTCTTATTAGGGATCCTGCCACTTACATATTTCAGTATGTTTTTCAGAAAGACAAAACGAAGAAATGTACAGTATCAGAATATTTAATCCGGGCGTCCAGGGCCGGACAGGGGCCAGCAATACTTTATAACTTTCTTATTAGGGATCCTGCCACTTACATATTTCAGTATGTTATTCAGAAAGACAAAACGAAGAAATGTACAGTATCAGAATATTTAATCCGGGCGTCCAGGCCGGACAGGGGCCAGCAATATTTTATAACTTCCTTATTAGGGATCCTGCCACTTACATAGTCCAGGTTGATACACAAATTCGGATTATAGGTAATGCACAGTGTCACTCAAAAAATCCCATTGATTTGTTGTAGCAAATACTCTGTATTTGTTAGTGGATTGAAAGTATTCGAGTTATAATTTGGCTTTGGAGGGCACTCACCTGAGTTTAAATTTTCATAAATTTAAGTTTTAAGCTTATTCAAGTGCAAGCATAATATTTTGGCTCAAAATTTGATGATTTGATAGATATCCAGGTAATCGATTAGGAAACGCGTCATTCTGTGTAACGATGGGATTACATGTGATGTTATATAGCCTATAGCACTCCTCGA